CCACGCCGTGCAAGACGAACCAAGGCAGCTCCGAACCCCACGCGCGGCGCTCTGGCCTCTCGCGCTCGGCCCCTCCTCCCGACCCCACGTGAGAGGGCGGGGCCAAGAGGGGGCCCCGGAACGAGCTTGACGGCAAGTGCCTTGAAGCCTCCGCCCCCCATGACGTCACCGCCGCGAGTCTCCCCGTCGAGAGGGCACGAGGGAAGGGGCGGGGCTTCCGGCAGGGTCCTTTTGCAGACGCCGCGCGGAGCGGACGTCTTCTCCGCAAAAAGTGCCGCCTACTTATGGCGGATGCAGGTTCCGGGGCCCCTCGCTTCCAGAATTTTCTCGAATGCCCATGCTCACTAAAGGTCGAGCGAGCGTCTCGTCACTTCCGGAATCATCCAGACCGCCGCCCCCACCTTTCTTTTCCTCTGAGATTAAATATTAAACTACTCCGACTGGAAGCCCGCGAATGAAACTGTTCCAGGTCGCTCCCTTTTTGGGGGAGGAGGAGGAGGCGTGGAGGGGTCGCGGGGCATAAAGCCACGGCCGAGCGGAATGAAGCCTTAACGGTTCCTCCTCCTCCTCTCCCCCCGCCTTCGCCACAGAGGCCCCGGAAGGAGTTCTGGCACGCGAGGGGTGCGGACGGCGCATGTGCGGCGGTCGACCCTTTTTCACGTGTGCTGCCTTGGTGGGTCATTCCGGGTGCCTTTGCTGCAAAAAAAGAGAGCAGGAGCAGGAGTCATGGTAAGGCCTTCTCCCCCACTTGACCCCCTTCCCCGGGTCGGAGGCAAGGACGGAGGGGGGAAAGGAAAGGAGTTTCTTTCCATGCCTTCTTCCGTGCTCCCTTTGGGTTCACGTGTTCTTCGTTGCACGTGAATCGAAAGTTGACGTAAAAGGTGGGCAGCAAGGGGGGGTCGCAGCTTTCCACGCGGCCTCCTCCCTCCTTCGTGCGGTGCCCTCTCCCGCTGAAGCAAAGGGATTTTCGATAAGGAAGAGTGCAGGGAATGACCCGAGGGGAACAAAGAGGGGGCCCAGGGAGGTGGGGAGGAAGCGGGGCCCCGAGCGGGCGAGACTTCGGTCCACTCTTTCCGAGGCCGGGGAGAGGAGAGGCAACGTTTGGCCCAACCGGGGAAGGGGGAGAGTTGGGGGGGGGTCTGTAAGGTCCCGGACTTGCTCCGGGAGATGCTGGTAGCTACAAGTACAAAAAGAAGTCGCCAAAGAGGCCGT